TCTGCATGAAGCTGTTTCTTTCTTTAAGAAAAAAAAACCCTTCCTCTAGATTTTTTGTCTTTTTTTTTTTTTGAAATGCCAATTATTAACAGACTTCACTGAGACTGAGCAGAAGTCATGGCTGCAAACATCACTAGCTTTTAGGAAGAGCAAATAATGATGTAACCTTCTGTAGTTAGACTGTCACAAAGTTCTTGAAAACAGTTGTAGTGGATTCTACATCTGACTTGAAGTGTGAACACAGCTTGGGAATTTGCATTACTGTACTGATTTAAATTCTAACATATCCCTAGCTGGGTCTGCCCACAGTACTCATTTTATAACCTGTTCTTATTTTTAATACACATAAAATAGCTTTCAGTCCTGCTTCAATAGTTTGGAGGAGGTTGGTTGATACGCTTTATGTGTGTATCTTCTATAAACATCTTTTCACAGATACAGACTGGAGACTTGCAGAACTAGTTTTTCAGAGCTATCCCTGGAACATTAAAGGTTATGTTTATTCTGAGCATGGTGAGGGAATTTTCCAACTACCACTGAATTTCTAAATACATCATTGTGTTTAACCCAAATGTTAGTTTTCTTTCCTTCCCTATTCCAGCTATACTAGGGCTGAAATCTGTTACACTCACTGAACAGGAAAATTTCCAGGTAGCTTGCTTTGAACAAACAATGATAACCATCAGATGTGCTACAATGAGTTTCTGTGAAACTCTGTTGGCTTGCATTTCCTTCCTTGTCTGACCCTCAAGACAATGATTGTAATAGCACCATAAATGCAAAAAGACAAACAAACAAATGGTTTCTTTTTCCTGGATCTTGGCACAGTGAAACGGCTTTCAGCAGAAATGCCATACTCCACGTATTCTAATTACAAAAATAACATGGAAAGGGAAATGTTAAACTTACACATTCTCCAACTGTTGAGATGCATTTAGCCCAAAATGCATAGTTAAGTTACCATGGTTGCCTTTAAAAGCAAATGCCCAAAGTGGAATACCCGTTTGTACGCTAAGCTATTTGCTGTTTATTATTTTAGCCAGTCCGCCACTGCTTCCTTGACATTACATGAATACGAGACATCAACTGATGTTGAAATTAAACAACGCTGGAGAATGGCAGCTGTTCAGGAGGACCTCTATGGCTCTAAAAAAACAGAGTGAGCAAGGGAGGAAGAAATGCGTTTTGCTTCTTGTTTGACTTGTCTAATCTCAGGGTGCTTCCAGACAAATGGATCTTTGCTCTACTAATTAAAAAAATATAGGCTTTGTATGTAGGCTTTGTAATCTGCACAGAACCTAGAAGGCTGTGAAAGTTGGCAACCCTGTATAGAACTGCTTGCACTGCAATGTCCCTTCTCATCTCCTAAGTAATAAGGGTCAAACTGTCATGCAAGTAACAAATCTTTGTGACGCTTACAAGACCAGGATTCTTTACTATGTAACTTCCTCCTTGCGCCCAAAGTAGCTTTAAAATGTATGCCAGATGTCCTCTGGTTATGCTGATTTACTTAAGGATAAAGATAATAAAACCCATTCAGGTTTTCCTATGTTTAGAAAATAGGAAGAGTCACACTGTTAAAATAACAGGAAGGGGTTAGGGTGTCTGTGCCTTTGATAAGCTAATGCCTATGGGTTGTGATCTCTATTCCCTAGATATTCCCTCACTTCCAAAAATGGCATGTTCTACTTCCTTATCTTGATGGTTGTAAACTAATGTATTTAATCAGCCTATACTCATTAGAATGTGGTTTAACCCACATAAGATCTGTGTTAACACAGTATCAGAGCTGTTGGCTTTGTTTGCTGGGAGCCCCACAATCAACTGTTTCCTTTTGTTAGCTTAATAAGAGAAAGTGGTTTATGGTTCTCTCCAAGTGCTTTGGGTTTTTTAGAGGTGAGTTTTCCACCACAAGTCTTTCTGTTCTCTGAGCCTTCTTGAAGCATGTTAAAGCTAGGTTGAAAAGATTTTGAGCACTCCTTTCTTTTTTTCCAGATCCACGCATGCTGAGATTCAAATACTGTAAAGGCTCCCACATCTAGTTTACAAAAATCCAGATGAATGTTAGACAGCTTGAAAGAGCCAAGGAGGTCTCAGAAAAAAAGGTGAGGGCTGTATGTGTGTGTGGGAGAGAGAGAGAGAGAAGGAGGGAGAGAGAGAAACCAGGTAACTCTCAAATATTGATAACCATCTATCATCTAAGGAGTGATGAATATTGGAAATAATTTGATACCCTGATACATATCTGGACAAGAATCAGTGCCTTAATATTCCTGTTTCCTTCTTCCCCAGAGCTATCATATCTGAGCACCAAAATTCCAGATGACCTTTACATTTCTGTATCTCGTCGCTGCAATCTGGTGGTTGTCTGGATATTTTCAGTCCAGATCTTATAAATCAAAACACTATAAATGTAAGCATGTCTGTATTTTTGTAAAATGAATTTACATCAGTCAATCAGTTCTTCCTTGCTTCTCCAATACAGCAAATCCATTTTCCTACATTTCAGATTGTGAATTTTAAAAAATCCCTTCACTCCAGTTTCCACAAAATATTCCTAACTCTATTCCTTGTAAATCCTAAAATAGCAATAAGTCTAATTTAGCATATGTAGCATTGATCCTTCCATATCAATGAAGACTGGAGAATGAATTTGCTGTAGAGTAAGTGATGGAGAGAATATGGGTGCAGTGACTGTATCCAGTTAAAAATAATATGTTGATGGCATTGCCTTTGATATGATGGAGGCTTTCATCAGAATAACTTGAAGACAGTTAATTTTTACTTATTTCTCTTCCATCACTTACACTTTGTTCCTTCTTTCCATGCCTGGTGCCTCTCAGTTCTGCTCCAGAGTGTTTAGGGGCCCTTTGTAAAAGCTTGGAGATGATCTGGAGGACTGCTGGATTGATGGTAAATTGTCAGAACTTGCTTCCCTTTACTTCAGCTGATGGAAGTCTCTGCTGGTACAGAAAACATTTCCTCAATGGAGAGACATTGACTAGATATAGTCCAGGAGCAGGGGAGTATTTTCAGAAGAGGTATTTCTAATCTTCCTGTTCATTAATGAAATTTAATGGGGACTTAAATAACCTCATCTTCAATTTGTAGTTCTCTGGTGTTTCCTAGTGTCTCTTCCATCCTCTTTTTTATTACAATGCCTTTTGATCAATAGCAACGATCCATTTGGAAATACCTGAAAAACAGCTTTTCAGTAAACAGTTGGTCAAGCACTTTTAACTATAGGTTGGCAACTATTTTGGACAGAGGGCTGAATCAAATTAATCGGCAAAATACATTCATTCCAGTTTCCCCAAGGCTTTCTTGTCAATAAATATCAATTTTTAGTGCATTCATATATTTTTTTGTTACAAGAAGGATAAAATATTGTAGAGAACAAGTAGGCATTCTTATATTTCTTCTTGCTTCTATCCCACCACAGCCTCTCATCCATAATAATGACTAGAAGCCTTATCATTTCTCTATTAAGCAATTCATGAGCTTTAGAATGTGATTCTAATAGATGTCTCGGATGAAAGTTGAATAGCATTTACTCCCAGATTAAAGCACATGACCTTTTTCAGCCCCTGACATCTCCATATGACCTGCCTATATCTGCATAAAAGCCCCTCCCATCCAAGAAAAAAGTCTTAGGGGTCTCTCTTGGCCACCATACTTGCTCGCTTGGGTTTAGCATACTGTAAATATCACTGAACTCAGTGGGGCTTACATCTGAGTAATCATTGTTAGGAATCTTCTCATTTTTTTCACCTGTATTTTAAAATTTAAGCCCAGCTGGGAAGTAACACATAACCAAATTTGGCTGATCTCAGAAAGCTTAGCAGAGTTCTTAGATGGAGGGTGACCAGGAAATCTCAGGGCTGAAAGCTAGACTGGGAAGCTAAGAAAAACTCCTGGAAAACAACAGTGGCCAATGGCTTCCATTCTGCTGCCAAGACAACCTCACGGAGATGTCCTGTGGATTTGATCTCAGCTCGAGGGAGACTTTATCTTTATTCCATTAAAGAAAAGAACATTTACCAAAATCTGTAGTGCAAGGGCTCTGCATCTCACCCACAAGAATTCCACCGAAACTATCTTCTCTTTTGCCAAACACATGGGTTTTCTTCCAAACGGAATGAAAAACATTGAGGAAAAAATGCAGAAGCCATTTCTAGTGCAATACTAAAAGAAAGCATTCCACAAGCTTTCTTCAGCTAAAAAGTATGTCCAAGGATACAGACTTACAGTAGTTTCACAGCTTTTCCCAGGGGATATTTGTTTAGTGACGAATGAATATAATAGTTAAGACCGAATCCTATCGTTTTGATATCTAGTGGGCAAATACACAAACTGAAATGTCAAATGCAATGTAGTACCATTGTGTTTCTGAAACGCCAGTTTTTCAAACGTTATGAAATGGAAAAAGCAAATCACAGGTTATTTATTGTTTTATAATGTCACCACTGGTTCCCGCTTTTTAGTGGGCAATAACTGGCTCGATCAAAATAAGCTGGGCTGGATCGTTTGGATGTATGATTCTATCCTGCTGATGTCAGCGAGGAATTTGGCCTTTGAGCTCAGTGGGAGCTGGACTGCACCCACTTTTCAGAACCAGCTTCTTCGTGCAGTACAGAAGCCTGAACCTCAGGGTATTCCACCCCACAGACCCACATGCTTCCTTTGAATTGCCCTGGTTTCTTGCATTACCTGTGTTGAGCTGCTGGGACGGACAGCGTATCTTTTTTAATTTAAAACATTGAAGTCGTTATGTTTTATACATATTCGGGACATTTTAATTATTGACCTAGCATGTGAATAATTAATCATGCACCAAGGCACCAGCCTAACAGCTGTGAAAGAATACCATTAGTTTGCTCTGGATATGACAAGGTCAGGGTCGCTCGCAAGAAGAACAACTATCCTCTTAAGCATACAAAGTTAATGTTCCACATTTCAGCCGTCTGATTAGTGAAATTTCAGAGGAAAGCCCTACTCACCTATAGTTTCCAGTGTGGCATAGTGGTCAGGGTGTTAAGGATAGGTTCTGCTCAACCCTCAGCCATGGAAACTTGCTGACAGCTTTGGATTGGCCGCTTGGTCTCAATTCCAGTACCACTGTTATGGGGAAACATTGGAGGACTGAAAGCTGTTTGCTCAGCCTCGAGCTCCTGAATAAAAGGAGGAATATAACTCTAGTTACAATAAAGAAAACATGCTGGCTATTATAGGGAGAATAATGTCTACAACGATGAAGTACTGAAAATAGCAAAGAATTATTTTAAAATGAATTCTGCATTCCAGTCAAAGTAGTCCTTTTCCCAGAATTGCTCTTTTGGGGGCAGATTACCTTTTATTTCATTTTACTTTATTTATTTAATGTATATCTTGACTTGCCTTTGGGAGTTCAAGGCAGCATCGATTCAAGGTCTTCCCTCATTTTTGTTTTTATTCACAACAACCCTGGTGAGATACATTGGGTTGAGTCAGGTTTAAACATGAGAAAGTTTAAAACCAACAATTTCAGTTAGGAAAAATGTAGACAACTTAGACCAAGCCACATCCAGAAATGCAGGAGAATTCCTAGAGGCTTAGCATTAACAGACACATTGAGATAAGCAACATCTATGATTCAGTCAAGAAAGGAAGCAACCCAAAGTCAAGGAAAGAAGCAGACGCCCTTTTTCATCATACTCCTCTTAACTAACACCAGATAAACAGGAACTAGCACCAGATAAATAAGAACTATAAAATTCAAAGAGTAATCAAGGAAGAAACATTATCCCAGTCAAGGCTGATAGGACAAGCTACTATATTTAAACAGCCAGCAAACTTTACTTCCTCAGGCTCTGATGATGTCACCTAGCCTGTTAATGAAATGGCTGCAGGAAGATAAGCAAGCTCCAAAAACACCAAGAACCCACTAACTCAATCCTGAGCTACATATATTATCCACTATGGCAATTTCCAGTGTTGCTTCTTGTTTTTGCATAGGAAAGAGAGGATTTCTGATATCACCAGAAGGCCTTACCATAGTCTTGACAAGGTCCACTAATTTCAGTGGCAGCAGGTTCATACCAAGTTACTCTTGGGCTGGGTTCATATAGCATGTTAAGCCTCCATAATGCAAACTGTTTGCTTTGGCTTAACACATTATGTAAGCCACTGTTGCTTATATACCATGGTTTATGGTTGAGCGTGCTCTGCTAGCTAGTAGCATCTAGCAGACCTTGGCTGATCTCAAAAAGCTAAGCAAGGTTGGACCTGGTTAATGTTTGGATGGGAGTCCAGTAGAAAATATCAGAATATAAGCTAGTCTAGGAAGCTGAAAAAGCATCCTGGAAGTTGATCATTTCCATATGGTTCCCAAGGAAATTACATGTACATGTCCATAAAATAACTAGAAAAATCATTTTTGACCTTAATATTGTGCAGAGCTTTCCAACTGTGGTTAGTTTAAGAAACCATGGCCTAATGTGGTCACTGAGGCAGGTTCTCGTAAATGAGGGTTTGGAGCCTAAGGTTATTTTAATTATTTATATTTATGAAGATATGCATATCCTATTTTCTGATCCCTCATGGGATCAGCTAAGATATCTCACAACATTGGCTGAAACATAAAGAAGCAGTGATTGGAAAGAGTTTTCTGAAACTAGATTATAACAGCCTTGTGGCTTAACAGCATGAAAAATTTTGAAGAGAAGATGACGGTCCTTGTATAGGAGGTTGGGTAGCAATATCATGACATTTGTTTCATCATTTTGGTGCCACTAAGGTTAGGAGTAGAGACCTAAGACGATTCATTTCAACATGTTTACTTTGATATTTGTAATTGTTCAAATAGAATTTGTTCTCCCATTACCATATATGAGCTTCTACATGCTCACTTCAAGTCTGTTGAATTCCTTGTGTTGTTGTGCCTTATCCTTAAAGGCAGCATAACCACTGGCAAACAAAAAACTTTGGTCCAAAGTTGTTCCATTTGCAAGACTTATTATTTCTTTTTTCTTTGAAAATAACTGGGCCAATTTTAATGTTGTAATACTTCAAGCAAAATTCAGTATTCCTCCTGCTTCTTTCTTCTTTCTGCAGTTCCACAGAAGAAGCTGAACGTGTGTTCCCTGGTTGGTTGGGGTTTTTTTAACAGCTGCTTTATTTTCATATGGAGTTTTGGGCAGTCAGTTAATAACGTAACACTTTGTTGCACAACTGGGTGTTGTATTAAAATTGATGGACTGTGGCCTTATTGATAAAAATAAGAACATGGCATATTTAGAAGTAGTTGGACCAATTTCAGCCCCATTAGGTGACTGTGTTCTATAAACAACCAGGAACTTTTACATTTGAGTTGAAAATTTCTCTGCTGTGAAGGACAAGGAGCTATTTAAGCAGCTACTTCTTATTCTCTGCTGTAACTGTATTAATAATTCCACCTCTAGACAATTATGAATAATGACAAACAAGTCCATCAAATATGCAAAAGGTAACTGGCTGCTGTTTGGCCAATGCAATATGAAAATACTGTAATTGAAATTCAATTGGTTGGTCCCTATGTTTTAATTAATTCAAAAAAAGAAGAAATCAGGGAAATAGTGGCCTGTATATTTGGGTTTAAAAAGTGTATTCTTCATTAATTAAATGCAGTATTATTTAGGTCTGTCATTTCCAAATAATGTGAAATAAAAGACCAAACTATGTGTATGTATATATATTCATAGCCATTTTCCTGCTTATATGAATTACTGCGTATACTTTTTGTACCATGCCTTTCTTACCGTCATTATAGAAGTGTGTTTTTGTTCATAATCATCTCTAATGTACACATTTCTGTGAATTTTCCCATACAGTGTGTATTTTATGTATATTTCCTAAGCTGGGAACCAAACCATGTTACAGTATGGCCTTTCTCCCACTGTCTCTGCCTATTTTATAAGATCTGACCGAGTGGCTTACTCCGGGTCCCATCTGTTAAGCAATACCATCTGATGGCCCTTCCCCTTCCAGTGCCTGCCCTCTGGAATAGGATTGTCCCAAAAATTCAAACAGCCCCAACCCTGCTGTCCTGAAACATGCATTAAAAACTTGGTTCCCCCCCCAAGCTCTAGGTTAGGCAGGGTGCATGTTAATAAATTTGGGGTTTGTCATTACCCCTGGTTATAACCATCTTTCTTTTTATTGTTGGGTTGTGTTTTTAATTTGTGTGCTGCTCAGCATCATTGTGGGTTGGGTGGCCTTATAAATTTAAATTATAAATACATAAATAATAGAAGTAATAATTTTGGCATGGGAGTTTCATATATGCTAATTTATTTGGTAGGACTGGGTGTTTTCTTAAAGAAAATGCAATTATACATTTTTAGGCACTTCAGAAAATGTCAGATCCTATCATTACACCTGACCATTGGCTATACAGATTGCAGATGACAGGAACTGTAGACTTGCAGTGAAGCTGCTGATTACTTATTTAAAGGAGGGGAAAAAAATTCTACTGGCAGAGATCATATAGGTAGAATATTTCAGTAGTAGAGCACATAGCTTCAAGTTGCATTACTATTAAGAGTTCCCAGTGTAAGTCATGGTCTCCAGTTTATATGAGACCACCAGCCTTTTTAAGTGCTTCTTGGAATTCCTTCCAGCTGCCTTTTAATTCTGAGTAAGAAACATACAAAACTTCTAGTGAAATAAAAAACAAACATAACTCCCAACAATAAAAAAAAAAAAAACCCAGAACATTCCAACCCCACCCACATTTCATAGCCTCGCTCAGGTCACCATCACTTTACTCACTATTGAAATCACCCTTCCCATGATTCCAGTAAGTATTGCTTCTAGCTACCAGAGTTTGCCCTGTCCTCATTGAAGCATCCACAGAGATCTTCCAGGAGGAGTAAATTTGTTCTCCAGATGTTTTGGACTGCAATTTCATTAATCCATGACAATTGGCCTTCCAGACTGTGAAGAGAATAAGTGCTGGGGAACAAGATTTCTAGAGATCTTGGGTTGTTTATGGGCAACAGTGTGACTCAGTGCAATGCAGCACAATGAGTTCTATGAATCATTAATAAGACCCAGATCTGACTCTATCCAATTTATTTAGGATAAAATAAATATATAAAAAGGACTTCATATAGAAAAAGTTGGGTACTTATTCCAATTCAGTGTTGTGCATACACCATGAAATAGATTGATCTGTTGATCCCAGTTATGCCTCCAGTGATGGGCAGTGGTTCTCAAGGCTTCAAGCTAGATTTTTTTCAGACTCTACCTGGAGATGCTTGGGCCCTCTACAGAGAAAACAAGTATTTTATCACTAAGCTAAAGCCCCAAGCCCAGAGCATTCATCCCATTATTATTATTCCGGCAGATTGGAGATGATTGCAAGGGATTCTTAGCTCCGCCTACTTATAAGATGGTTTTTCAGATGACAAAAATGTTATTCTTGGCAGGTGGGTTTTTTTTTTTAGTCTTAGTTTTGCTTTAAGGAACCATTGACCATCATGAATGTTCTCAGCAGGAACGTCACCTTTTTCCTGGTGCAGGCAACCCAAGATTGAAAGAAGACCATCCCAGCTCATTCTTTCATGAGGCTGAGCAGTGGCAGTGCCAGTAAACCAATGTGTAAACAGCCATTGCAGAAAGGAAAGAATCTGAGTTCTTGCCAACATCATTTAGGGAACTGTTTTCTCAACTCACCCCAAACTTCATGGGAAGTTAGGAAATGTATTATGAGAAGCATTTCTCTTGCATGCTTCCTCACAAAAACTTTGAGTAGCATATCCCAACCTAACCCATATTTTTCTCAAAAGAACTGTATGTGACATATGGGGCTAATAAGAGTAACTATATCAAGGGTATCAAGATAATATCCTGATTATCTGATCCTAGCATTATTCTGTATCACACTGTTATTAAGGCAAGGGCTTAGACAGGGAAAGGATAATAGAGCTAGGAGTGCTGGTGAGTTCCTTAAACATCAGAGCTGCCCATCTTTTGTTAGGAAAATGACCCACTGTCAGGAGATATCTGGAGACACCTTTGTAAGAATAATTTTGGGCAAAAAGAAATATACTGCTCTTTTCTAAATGTCTCAGCTATAGATAATATAATTTAGATCCAGGTGTATGTATATGCATGTATAGACATAATGAAAAACACAGGCTGAGATTAAGAGTCAGTCATTCTGCCTCAGCCCAGCCAGAGTTGTTGTTGTGGAGAAACCTGGAGGGAAAGCTGTGTCTACTGCCTTGAGCTCCTGAATAGAAAAATGGGATAGATGTCAAACAAATAAATAAACTTGTCGTGTGAACACCATAACCTGGACCATTGGCCCATATAACTAACTCAAAGGATAACTTGAGCGCCAAACACCACCAAGCTATTTGGAGTTAAAGTAATTTTCCTTAGCCGGTTCTGCCAGCTGAATAATTGATCAGGAATTAACTGCCCTTTCTTGTTCTTAGCCAAGGGAAGCCACAAGCTTTTCTCTTTGGGGTAGGATGAGCCTGGAGCCCAGTGAGATGGTATGTAGATATACGGGATATATGGGAGAGTGTTTCTCTGGGGTGCCGTGAATTTTTATAGAGTTTAATATAGTTTTAATTGATTTTATTCTGATTTGTTGGGAGGGGGTTGTTGCTTTTACTGTTTTGTGTATTGTGTTACAATATGGGGGTCTTTTAAAATCAATACATTTAATATTTAATACATTATGTATTTAATACATAAAGATATAAATCCCATGAAAACTGTGCATGCACTATCATTTCTATTATCTATAGATTACAGATAATCTATCTATCATCTACCAATCTCTCTCTCTCTTTCTCTCTCTCTCTCTTCAAGACAAAGCAACACACAGCAACACACACAAAAGCACAAAGACAAGGAAGTGACAGCCTTCCTTGTGGTGGCTGACAGGACTTAGAAAATGGCCATGCCTCAGAGTTGGGTCACTGGAAATCACCTGCAGCCAGCACATGGACGTAACCTGGTAATCAAAGGTGTGAGCAGCTAATTGAGTCAGCTGTATGACACAAAGCTTGCCAGACAAAGGAAGCAGGTTTTGACTCCCCACCACTTTTATGCAGGTTGAGGGATTTCCCAATTGAGATGCTTAAGCTACTTACCTCTCCTCTTGGGTTGTCTTCCTCTAGGATTCCTGACTGAACTTTGAACTATGATTAAGTTCATTGCCCATGAACTTGAAGACTACCAAAAGAAACCCGTTCAGTCTTCCTTTCCTTCCAAAGGTGCACCAACCTGGAAAAAGAGTGAATGCCTGGAATTTCTGACCAATCACCGAAAAGTGCTTAGTGTACAGAGTAAAAATGTGATTGTGGGTCAGTGGCTACAAAATTAAGTTGTGAATCAGAAAAAAGCACAGTTCAAACAATAACTGGTCAGTGTGTCTATAAGAGGTGTTGCAAAGATGAGGGAAAGTTGACCTTATCTCATGGGACAATACAGACAGACACAGGTACATTTATTGTGCTGAATCTTGTATATTAAAAAAAAAAATCAATACTAAGGGAACTTCCATACCATCACCATTTCTGTCCCTCCTAACTCTTCCAAGTGCACTGTAAAACCCCAGATGTCCTCACCTTTGACTACTGAGGAACCTTATGGATTGGCCAATGCTCCATCCAGCTGGCTGATGGGAGAGCACAAAAATTAATGCTCTTTACACTTTCCATCCTTGTTGTCCCTGTCCCTCATTTGTTTTACAGGAATAAAAAAACGAACAAGGCAATTTCTTGTAGAAACAACAAAATTCCCCCCATCCCAGCAACCAGAAATATTTGGGGAGGGAGAATAGAATTGCAGAGTATTTTGACCCCAGGAGGGAGGGGAAAGCTGCTATTATGATTTTTAATGGAGATTGGATTTCTAGGCCTTTTAAAGCTAATGAATCATATTTAAAAAAAAACAAATGAAGTCAGTAGATGTGAACAGAATGGATGATTTGGCTGACCGTCAATAGAGCAAAATTGTGACTTTGTTCCTACTATGTTTGCCAAAGAGCATTAGATCCATTTTTTAATCTCTCTTTATCTTTTCGGGGGGGAGAGAGAGAGAGAGAGAGAGAGAGAGAGAGAGAGAAAGA